GTCCGGAACACGCCCAAAAAAAAAAAAAAAAAAAAAAAAAAACAGACACCAGACACTTGCCATGTTGAATTCCTTTGGCCAAAAGAATATGAGGATTATGTTACTTTTTTAAAATGATTTTTTGAGACAGTGTTTTTCTGTAGCTTTGGATCTAGCTCTTGTAGACCAGGCTGGCCTCAAACTCACAGAGATCCACCTGCCTCTGCCTCCTGAGTGCTGGGATTAAAGGCACAAGCCACCACCACCCAGCAGGATTATGTTACATTTTGGGCCGAAGCAGTCACCAGGACCAGACTCTCCAGAACGCATTTCCCCTTCCACATTAACCAAAGAGACCAGGACTCCTGGGTGAGGCAATCAAGAAACACGACAGCAACACACAAGGCGCGGCCTTGCTAAATTGGCCACAGTGCTTTAGTTCCCTACTCACTCAGAGATATGGAGTCTAGGTGTTTCTCAGGGATCGATACCATCAATGAGCTGCCCAGCATCAATGCTGGGGTGTGAGAGTAGAGTGTCCCCCAGAACCTTGTGTGCTGGAGGCTTGGAGTTTGCAGAGTATTTGTTTACACTGTGAAGATGTATTTTTGCCAAGGTGCCTTCTGATTGGTTTAATAAAGAGCCGAATGGTCAATATCTAGGCAGGAAGGGGTTAGTTGGGACTCCCAGGGACAGAGAAGACTCTGGGAAGAAGAAGGGGAGACACCATCAAGATGCAGAGTGAGTCGGACACACAGAATGGGAGAGAGGTAAAAGCCATGTGGTAAAATGTAGATGAATAAAAATATGGGTTAATTTAACTTATAAAAGCTAGTGGGACTAGCCTAAGCTAAGGCCACGCATTCATAATGATAAGTCTCTGTGTCGTTATTTGTGAACTGGCAATCCAAAGAATAATCTGACTATACTTGGCCTCTAGTATAGAAGGGCCTTTCTTTCAGAGAAAATAATTGGGTCAGGTCACCCATACCCTCAAGAAAGGGTGATTCTTGGCTCTGTTGAGTGGACTTGGTTTGTAGGAATGGGATTGTTTCTGACTGGTTTTGGTTTTGGGTTTTTGAGTCAGGATATTAGACTATATACTTCCATAGCTGGAAGGCTGATTAGGAGCTCACTGTGTAGCCTTAGCCTGGAATCACATTCATAACAGTATTCTCACCTCTGCCTCTGAGTGCTGGAATCACAGGCACAAGCAATCATGCCTGGCATCACCTCTTTACCGCTAAGTCTTAGTTCACCAGAAAGTTGATTTTTGATGACATTGAGTGGTGTCTTCTCACTGTTTTGTTCACATAGCCAAATTTGTGCCCAGGGAGGAACCTCTGAGGACCCTGTTGTTGTGGAGGTTTTTACATTTGACTATAAAGCTTGGGACATTGGTACCTGCAGATCAGAGCAAATTAGCTCTCACCTAACTTCTGTTATTTGGTCATAGAAGATCTGAACTTCAGCATGGGTTTGTTTCTTAGGTCCTTCAGAAATTCTCCTTGATAAATGGCCTCATGGCCTCTCCTTGATGTTCTTTCATGTCAGCATCTGTGTTCATTACAGAGGTTTCCATTCAGACTGATTTTAGCAGCCTTATCTACGGGAACTAGTTAAGACCATACAGGAGAGAAGGAGGGTGAAGACTGGAGATAGAAGGTTTGTGATACTTTGTACCCATCCATCCACCCATCCACCCATCCACCCATCCATTCATCCACCCTCCCATCCACCCATTCATCCACCCATCTATCCACCCATCCACCCACCCATCCATCCACCCATTCATCTACCCATCCACCCATCCATCTACCCATCCATCCACCCTTCCATCCACCCATCTACCCTCCCATCCACCCATCCATCCACCCATTCATCTACCCATCCACCCACCCATCCACCCATCCATCCACTATTATTATTTCGCAAGTGCTCACTCTAAGTCAGTATTCGGGTGCTCTAGAAAGGAAGTTGTAAAATCTAATTTTCTAATTTTCTTCGGTTGAGCATGAGGCTCAGGCAGATGGACAGGCAGTTAATCAGCAACTAGAGGTCACTCAAAGTGGAATGCTCACACTGAGGTCCTCAGCTGGAAGCCAACTCTCTGCCTTCTCCGTTGCCCTTGTCACCTGTTCCCTGTAGAGGTTCTCTCTGTGTGTCTGCCTTTACAACAAAACAAAACAAAACCCTGGATCCCCTCTGTAGTGTAGCCAGGCTCACCTTGAATTCACAGTAATCCCCCCAGCCCTCCCATCACCAGGCCCAACTGTACACATATTCTAATACTACATCTTTGATAGCAAGTGGTCTGTCTTCTCTTTCAGTGTTCTCCGTTATACCCAGTTCTGATATTTGGGAGACAGTGAACTAGATGCCGTGGGGATGGAAGTGCACGCCCTCCCTCTCATACGATTGCTTTACAGCTGGTTTACACACGGCACAGATACAGTCAGCACCCAGATCCTCGAGTTTGCATCATAGTGTCAACCAACCTCAGACTCAAAATACTATATTGTCCCTGTGTTAAACAGGCACATTTTTTTTGTTCCTAGTGCTTGATTTATGCAACTTTTATAGTATTAGGTACTAAAGTACCTAGAGATGATCTAAAGCATACAGGAGAATGTGCCATAGATCGCACATAAACAGTCATTTTTTTTTTATAAGGGGACTGTATGGTCTTGTGCCTGTAGAGGCGTCTGGAACCAAGCCTTTACAGAAACCAGGGAGCAACTGGACCACACGAGTGAATTCCAGCTTCCAACGATAACATCCCAGGAGAATAAAGTTGTATCACATAGACCTGCCACTAGAAGCCATACATTAATGTGTTGACAGTCATGAATAAATGAAAACAATTTCCAAAAGTGTGTATCTGTGAACTCCATAGGTGTGAGGGAGGACCCACAGTCGTGAGCCTGTTCTGCCTCAACTGGAGGTCAGAGGGTTTGAACTTATTTTTGCTCTAAGTTTGTTGACAACAGGTGTGGCTACAAAGGAACAGATTCTGACTGAGGGTGTGGTTAATTAGTATTTTGGGTATAGGGATGGGTCCGCTCCACCTGGACCAAAGCTCAGAGAATTCAAATCTATTCCTATATCATGCTAATGAAGTCTGTTGTACTCCCCCTCCCCTTCTGGAGTGAAGTATGTAAGCGTAAGCATGTGGAGGAAAAATGAGGCAGGTTCAGTGGTCACTGAATGTCCCTCCCTATGCTGTTCTGTGTTTCTGTCTCTTATTCCTCCTACATCTCTGTTCCTTTTGCTCAGTAATTCTAATCCTCATGCTTTTACCTGGAATGTACGAGCTTTGTCAAAACTGGCTTTCAACACATAGGTGAAACTTAGGCTGTATCTAGACATGTACACAAGTTATTTCAACTTAGATTTATTTTATCAGTTGTTCTCGTGACTCTTAAGGTGCTCCGCTAGCTCAACTAGCAGCTCTGGCTAGCCAGGGCTACATGAGACCCTGTCTAAAGCAAAAACAAAACAAAACAAAAATCTTAGAATATGATGGCGAACAAATATGTTTTGAAATTGCATTTGTAACCAGCCTGTTTTGTCTTTTCTCCTACTCTCCTAGGACCAGCCTTTACCTGCAGGAGCCATTGGTTCCTCTGATTACTAAGGAGAAAAGCAATCAGCATGGGTAAGTGGGAGGGAAGGAGAGACAGAAGGAACCAGCAGCTGAGAGACAGGCGGCCGAGACAGGTGGCAGAGAGACAGGCAGACAACTGGAGGGAGTCCTTTCCCTCTCGGGGTTTTGTCCTCCTGTTCCAGCTAGTCTGGGGTCTCCCCAGTCACTGGGTGGGAAGTGAGTGATGGTTTTCTTGTCTTTAGGCTCACTGCTGCAGATCCTGATTCTGCCCCTGCCGGAGGAGCTTGGGAAGGAGAAAGCAGCCTTCCCAATTGTATTAATGCACCTGATGAGCACAGATATCCAGACCCTAATCTGAACGTAGTTCTTCTGAGGATAATAATGCCATCTAGGACGAAGATTGTCCTAAAACACTCCTGAGGAGAGCAGCAATTGTTCCTGAGTGAAGCATAATCAGAAAGCTGGTTTGAACTGGGCTCAACTCTGAATTGTGATCGCCCAAAATAACAGTGGCTTCAGCTGGCAGGAATTTCTTCTCTCACCCAACATGGCTAAGCCAGCTTGGCTATGATAGTTCCACAGATACGAAACACCTAGGGTTCTTGTCTCTCCTGGCATGTGCTTTGACTGCAGGGGCCAAGACATCGCTTTGGGTTTCATGAGTCATTATTGCCTCATTTTTTTTTTCAACAGAAAGTTCAGGGTGCATCTCATGGCTCCATCCTGTGAGGTGCACACATGACTTCTGCTTGCAACCCACCAGCCAGATATTACGTCAATGGTCACATGACAGTAGCGGAAGCTAGATCTTAGACGAAGCAGTGGCCCTGCTGTCTTTGAAATGAGAACTGAAGTGGTTTGAATATGTATTTGTTTAATACTGAAGATGACTTTTCAGATTCTAGGGATGAGAATCTCAAGCCTGGAAAAACAGGAAAGCATTGATTGAGCGATGGATTCGTATTCTTTCCTTTTGAGCTCTGGCAGCCACCAGTTATTATGACACATCAGACACGCCATGCTTTGGAGCCCCAGATGGCATCACACACACTCACACACCTTGATTTGTAGTCCCTGTTGACCACAAACTTACAATACCCCTCCACCCCTGCCACGTAAGCTTCTCTAATGCTGGATTTATATCCTGCTTTATTATTTATTTATTTTGGTGCTGAGAGTTGCACCCACGGTCTTGCACACACAGAGCCAAGTCTATGGCTGAGCCACCCCCACGGTTCACTTCGAGACTCGTAAACGAGTTGTTCCCACTTAGCTTTGTCTTCTCAGCTGTTCTCATGACACTTCAGGAGCTTCGCTAGCTCAGCCAGCAGCTGCGGTTCTAGACAGTCTGCTTCAAGAGCATTTCTGTCACTGAAGAAAGTCCAGTTCGTGTTTCGCACTCCTGAGAGCCCAGAGGCCAAACTGAGCAGGCAGCGCGCTGCAGCACTCTGAAAATGAGTATTTATTGCCCAAAATATATTAAAATATCAACTGAGAGAGATGGCTCAGTGATTCAAATCACTTGCTCTTCTTCCAGGGGTGAGTTCAGATTCCCAACACCCATGTCAGGTGGCTCACAACACCTGCCTTTAACTAGGACTCCCAGAGGATCTGCTACCTCCAGCCTCCGAGCACCAGCTCCCGTGTGCACATACATAATTCCTATGAAGAGTCACGTGTGCTCATAATTAAAACCAAGAAACATAAGCCTTTAAAAATACTATGGGGATGAGGATGCAGTTCAGTAGTATGTCATTAGCTTTGTTCAACTATGTCCTATCCATCAGAGAGGGGGGTGGTATATATAAATATTAATAAATATATATACTTATAATTGGGGGGTTGACAAAAGTCAGAAAATCTGCTAGACAAATTCTTTAAGAGCTATAACACTGAATATATTTCTTTTTGGTGCTTTGTCTTTTCATTTTCTCTTGTATAGTTGCCTTTTGTTGTTTCTGGGTGATTGTATTATTATTATTTTTATGAAGTATTATTATTTTCAGTGCTGGAATCAAAGCCAGAATCTCAGGCATGCCTGACTCTACCCCAGCCCCACCTGTTTGTTTGTTTTAGTTTCCTTTGGTCTCTTAAGACTGAGATAGACGTGACTTGGAGCTCACAAACGTAGATAAGGTTGACCAATAACACCGGGCTTGAACTTAAGCAATTCTGTGTCTACCTCCTAAGGGCTGGCTTGTCAGTTCTGGGCTACCAACCAGCCTTATTCCTGTTTATTTAGAGACGTGAACTCACAGAGATCCACCTGCCTCTGCCCCCCAAGTGACAGGATCAAAGGTGTGCCCCGGTCTTGAAAGCCAGCTAATCCTATTTAGATGTCTGATTTTAACTATTGCTCTTTTTTTTTTTTTTTACTCCTGTCCACAGAGTTATCTGCTGGTCTAAGTGCACTGAAAAGCAACATTGTGTCTTCCTTAAACAAAAATCAAAGCAAACAAACAAAACCGAAAAGAAAAACAATACCAAGCCAACCAAGCAAACAAAAGAACACAAAAACATGACTGCCTGCCCTGGAGTTGGCTGACTGATGCAGTGACCCAGGTGGAGTAAACTTGTTCTTCTCTTTCCTAGTAGGGTGGGGCTTTGTGTGTCCTTCTCGGTGCTGGGATTTTCTCTGGCTTGAATTAGGGTCTTTGCTTTCTGTTTCAGTCCCTCTGAGTTCACATGAGCACCCATCCTGTTGTGTCTGGAAGATTCTGTTGCCTTGGAGTCATCTACCACCTTTGGCTCTTAAAACATTTCAGCCTCCTTTTCCACAGACTTATTTCTCCCTGAAGTGGAGAGGGAGATAGGGAGGTACTAGGAGGAGTTGGGGGAAAGAATATGGCCAAAATATATTAAAAGAATCCTAAAGCCGGGCGATGGTGGCGCACGCCTTTAATCCCAGCACTCAGGAGGCAGAGGCAGGCGGATCTCTGTGAGTTCAAGACCAGCCTGGTCTACAGAGCTAGTTCCAGGACAGGCTCCAAAGCTACAGAGAAACCCTGTCTCGAAAAACAAACAAAAAACAAAAACAAAAACAAAAAAACCAAAAAAAAAAAAAAGAATCCTAAAAACCAGTAAGTACATTAAAAAAACAAACAAACTCACAAATAAATCAAAACCCACCATCAAACAAAACCATCCCAGGGCTTGCCACCAACTCAGAGTTCAACTCATAACCTGAGTTCAGTTCCCAAAACCCACAAAGCGGACTGAGACAGCCAGTTCCAGCAAGTTGTCCTCCGGCTTCCTCCACACATGAACATACAAAAATCAGTGTCACAATAACAATAATTAAAAAACAAAACTACTGTCTCAGGCCAGTGTGGTGACTCACACTTGTATCTCAGCTGGAGGATCACTGCAAGCTAGAGATGAGCCTGGGGGGAGAGAGCCAAGCAAGGGGCCTCAAAACCAACAGAAAGAGCCCTCCCCTTTCAGGCTGTTTAGAGATCATTTCCCAAACACCACCTTTCCAGCAGGCGCCGTTTCTCCCACTCACTCCTCACGGTGATTTGACCGTTTCTTTAAGGTTGTGGGAACAAGGGGTGCCCCGGAATTTTCATGGTTCCTGGAAAGTCCAGCGATTACGAAGAAGCTTAGAAAGCTTATTCTGTGTTGCAAGGAAATTGTGGGTAGTGCATGAGTTTAGTCTTACTTGAAGCTGTAAATCTTACCTTAGTAAATAAAATAAAGCTGGCTAATGGTCACCAACCAGATTTTCACTTCTTCTAAGGCATGGGGTTGAAGAAGAAGGGTTTCCTTGGACAGCACTAAGAAGTTCTTAAGAAGAAAATGGTCTTTTGTCAGCCAAGCCAGGGCACCCTCCCTGTGCACACACAACTTTCGGTGTTTTGTGTGACAGCTGTTTTCACAGCTATAGAATACCTGAGAGAATTAGCCCAGACGAATTCGTTTCTACCAAGATACTTTTAAAGTACTTTCTTTTTCCTGAGAACCAGGGTCTTCGTGACAGCATGCCAGGGCAGGCTGAAACAGTATGAAATTTTCATCAAATTTTGTCTGCCATACACACTTCCAATGGTTTAAAATTTGTCTCCCATACACAATTTCAGCTATTTATCTGTGCAACACAGTGAACCAGTGGCGCGTGGAGCCAGGGGAAGTCTAGTTCTGGGTTCTGAGTGAAGCTAGAAAGAATCTTAGCTGAGAAGCGGCCTTGGAGGTTAAGTCAGGATCAGCCACAAGAAATCGAGAGACCCAGGTGCACTGAACAAACTTCCGAGTCTTCGGCTGCGATTTTGGTGGAAATGCCATAGGTGCAGAGTTCAGAGACCTCTGTAGAGCGCAGTGAACTGCGCATTCCCTGGAGGGGACAACAGGGCCATTGTGTTTTAGGTGTTTACAACTCAGCGGAGGAGGCAAGACCTGTGCATATGAAAATTTAACTAGCAGTAAAAAGCCAGTATCTAAACAGGGCCAAATGATGGAGCTGTCACTGGGGGTTCAAAGGGCGCAGTGGTAGAGTGTTCCTGGGGGAAGGCCACACTGTGTACTGGAGGATTCAATAGCAGCTTGGGTGGAGGCGGCTGGGTTGGAAGGATGGTTGGGTGTAGAGGAGAAAAAAAATGAGGAGCGTTCCGGTGAGGTGAGAAGTAGCCTAAAGACAGATGAAGGGACTGGAAAGAACAGAATGTGCGCCCAGGAGAGAGTGATTAGATAAGGCAGGCTGGGGCGGAGAGACTGGAGGGAGAGCCCTGCCTGGGACAGAACAGCCTCACCGGCTAGGTGACCAGCTGTTAAAGGAACAGAGGAAAACCTGCTCATTAGTTCTCTCGCTCATCGTACCCGAAGCTCCTTGAATCTGAGCATAGGCTGCGCTGCAGCCATCTTGGCACTGGGCATGTACGTTGTTCTTGTGTCCCTGGCACTCTGGGAGCCAGGACGGGAAGCGGGGGAGACCGTAGGGACAGTGAGTCTGCTCCGCAAGTCACTACACGTTTGTTGAGGTCCACGGAACGTACGAGAGTGGACTCGAGTCCGTGAGCTCTTGGGTGACGATCTCATCTATATGTGGAATTAAAAAAAAAAAAAAGCAAAACAATACAAAACCTTGGTCTCGGGGAAGTTCAGAGAAGAACAGTGGGTTCCAGAGGCTAGGGAGAATAGGCAGAAGGGAGCACTCTTAACCACTGAGTGCCTCTCAGCCCCCTACACCCCTCCTTTTGGATGGCTCAGTTTTTTTTTTTTTTTTTTTTTTTTTGGTTTTTCGAGACAAGGTTTCTCTGTGGCTTTGGAACCTGTCCTGGAACTAGCTCTGTAGACCAGGCTGGTCTCGAACTCACAGAGTCCGCCTGCCTCTGCCTCCCGAGTGCTGGGATTAAAGGCGTGCGCCACCATCGCCCGGCTCGATGGCTCAGATGTTAAGGACACTGGCTGCTCCTCTAGGGGACCCAGGTTTTGCACCTGAGTCCCGCGTGGTGGCTCATAACTTTCGCTAACTCTGGTTGCAGGCAATCCAATGGCCTCTTCTGACACAAAGCAACAGGGACAAGCATGTAAGTGGTACACATACATACATGTGAGGAAAACGCCCCCACACAGAAAATCATCTTAAAAAACAAGACAAACTAACGCACACTTACGCATTAATTCAAAATGCCAAAGTCACTGAGTAAGGGGGAAGAAAATTCCATCAGCCATTCTCAGTGGTGCTAAAAATGAAAAACTTAAAGTGTTTACATTTACAAACAAATTTAAATTGATTCAAGATGGTCATGGTGGCACATGCCTTTAATCCCAGCACTCAGGAGGCAAAGACAGGAGGATTGCTGTGAGTTTCTAGGATAGTGGTGCCTTGCTGGGCAGCCAGAGCTACAGGGTGAGACCTTGTCTTAATAAACAAACAAACAAAATAGTTATTTGAGAAAAATGCAAAACAACAAACAAAACACCCAAATGATTAGCATATGGGTGTGCATCTGAGTTAGAACAGGTTTATGGATAGGGAATGTAACTGAGTAAAAAGAACCCTACCTGCCGAGGGTTTTATCCTTTAGACTCCGAGCAACGGGGACTCAGTGATGAGAATACACCCAAGGGAACTGTGTCCTGTAGCACGGACAACACCATATTGGTTTGTGCTATTGAGCCCAGTGCTGGAACACAATCCAACTCAATAGCTTCCTACAAGTTCTGTGGAAGACACTGGAAAGACACCCTTATAGGCTAAAATCAAGGCAAAAATTGAATTTAATAGATTAAAGCTCTTGCCTGGTGGTGGTGGCGCTTGGGAAGCTGAGGTAGGCTGATCTCTGTGTTTGAGGCCAACTTGGTCTACAGAGTGAGTTCCAGGACAGCTAAGGCTGTACACAGACACCCTGTCTTAAAAAAACAAACAAACAAATGAAAGATTAACGTTCTTTTGAAATAGGTATTTGGAGTGACTATTTTGCATCTGAATTCTCTGAATAATTGCCATCATACTTGTTTTTGACTTTATTATTTTGACTTCTTCAGGCATTAGGTACTATAGACTACCTCTTTAGTGATTCAGACGTTTGGTCATTTGCTGATAAAACTTTATTAGGCACCTAAATATTTTTTTTCAGGG